CAGCTAAATGGAGAGTGTCTTCCATTAGGTACTATGACTTGATGGAAGAATTATGGGGAGTTGATCGGGCGACAGGCCATATGGCTAGGACTGTGCGACAAGCCCGTAGAAATATCGGTATGCCAAGTGTAACGGTCGACTTGAACGATGATGTGGATGACATACCATAGGACAACCCTTTTCAGGCAGGGTTTGATACAACATACCGGTCGCCACCACACATTGGTTCTTGTAGTTCTGTTGATGGTACTCAGTCAGTGCCATCTACTGCATCTGGTGGTACTACTGGAACATCGTCATCTCAAGGCACAAAAAGAAAAGCCACAATGATTGATGTGATGGATGCACAATTTGACAGGCTAACTACGAGGCTCGATGCATTTACAGATTACCTTGGTCAAGGTAATGCGTTGACTCAAAGATTATCTGATATTGTTGAACGACAAGTGGTCGCCATTGAAAAATAATTTAAACATTGTAAACTTGACCATAATGTTATAAAAGTATTTATTAATGGTCAAAGATACATTTTAATGTTATTACTTGCAATTATGTTTTATGGAATATGTCTTATGTTTAACATCATATTTGTTATTGGTTATTTTATATATAATTTTCAGGTATGGCATCCGGTTCAAGAAAAAGAAGTTCAAAAGAAAGAAAAGGAAAAACTCCTGCCACCTCGGATAGAGTAGCTGGTCCTAGACTACCACAAATTGAAGAAGTTCTAAATCAGACACGTTTAGCGTGATCAGATGATTAAATATGGCAAGAAGTTTTACCACAGGATAGTCCTTCATCCAAAGGTTATGGACTTTAGCTATTTTGCCACATCAGGGCTGTATTTTCATTGAGGAAAAGAGAAGAGCCCAACATGACAAAAGAGTCAAAAACATCATAACATCTGCATTTCTATTGATGAATTTTTCAGAATTTCACAATGCTTATCTGCTAAAGAAATGTGGGACACTTTGCAAGTCACTCATGAAGGAACAAGTGATGTAAAGAGATCAAGAAAGCATACTCTCATTAGAGAATATGAGCTGTTTAGAATGCAAAATGGTGAATCTATTTCTGATTTTCAAAAGAGATTTACACACTTGATAAATCACCTTGTTGACCTTGGCAGGAAATTTGAGAAGGAAGAGCTCAATTT